GGGGGGGGGGGGGGGGGGGGAAGGGCCACCACGGTCTCTCGAATCGGTTCGATAATACGACGGTCTCGCGAAACTCACGAGTGCCGAATGTGCGACACATCGTGTCGTCAGGCGTCGCATCGACTCTCGTCGGCGTGGGAAACAATCCGTAATTGAGAATTGGCGCATGCGGTAATAACTGTAAATTGTTAGATGTAACACTCACCCGCGTTATTACTGGCGAAATTTAGATCCTTACCTGAAACAAAGGAAGCGGACGTTATTAGCATGGACGGGTGGATATCGACGGTCGGACGGTGCGAATCTACGTTCTGGTATATGCGAGTATCGATCTCGACGTGCGCGTATATACACGTGTGCGCGCGAGTCGCGTCAGAAATGCATCGGGAGTGTTTCGAGATTGAATCAGGGCGGCGACGAATCGAAGCGTCGGAAGTACGAGTTGCGCCGGATCCACTTTCGCACCGCTTCCGTAAACAGCGACGTCACCTTTTTTCCTCTCTTTCTACCTTTTCCTCTTTTATTCTTTTAACGCGCACAGGTTTTGTCGAAAACGTTGGTTTTAATACGCGCGATTGCAATCGCGTGTCCTTTCCTCTCCCTGTGATTCTCCCCTCCCCCCCCCTTTTTTTTCAACACGACGTTAACTGTTAAATTTTCAATTCTGCATGCGCGATCTCGAGCATCGAGAGCATGCGAGACCGTTTCTCTCGCCGAGCATGGCTGATAGCTGATAAAATAATGATGTTCGAGATCAGCTGTTAACCCCCTGGTCTATTCTGAGACAAATTTCAGCAGGTGGTGGTCTAACGCGGTTAAGTTATCGTCGGTTGCATAATTGATCCCGGGCATCCGGAGTTGCTCGCACCGCCGCCCGGATTGACGTCGCTAACGTAAAATACTTAAAAGGGAAGGAGAGAGAAAGAGAACGACAGAGAGAGAGATAGAGAGAGAGAGAGAGAGAAAAAAAAGAGAATCAGCCCCGGCGCTCCGCAAATAGCTTCATTTATTTTCCGCCAGGGCAATGCTCGTAATCCGATTTAACGCTTCCCTTCCGTTATATTTCCGGATTAAACGCGGTTACAGTGACTTCTCAGCTGCATACTGAAATGTTCGAATTTAGTTAGACACGCGATCCTTCTTGTTGCGCACACATATTATTTCGTATAAACTAACGTGTAATCCGCGCGCATGCCGGATAATCTAACCAGGCGCATGCATACAAATGCCGTCGGAGTGTTCGCGGTTGCACTCGGTTGCATGTGATGCCACTCGACGGAAATCCGGAGTCACGCGCGAAGACGGTAAAAGTAAGTAACCGGAAATAAGAAGGCATCGGCGAGGGATCGCCCGCGTTTCGCACAGGTGTGGGGCGGTTGGCTAAACTAAGTAAAACACTGTCTGTCGATATGTGTGTGCGAGCAGTTGTATTATCTATCTCAATTAAGAATTAGATAAAAAAATTAATCACGTGTGTTATATATTCTATAGCTATAATATATGTAATAATTTTGCAATTATTATAATTATCTTTAGCCGCGTAATAACGTTTCGAAGAGTAGTCTTCAAATACTTTGCAACGGAAGGGAGGAGGGGGGAGAGTAAAAAATATCTAAATTTAGCGTGACGTAATCGTTGAATGGCCCCTTCATTACGTATGAAAAGAATGTGATTTTTTTACACGATTATATGCCAAAGATACGTATTATTCAATTGCATATCGAAGATACGCAATTTGGTCGGGAATCGAGATCTCATTGAGAAACAATGTTGTTTCATCGAGGTTAAATTGCCGCCCTGGTGTAATAACGCATATAAAATGCGAATGATTTCACGATATGCTCCGTAAAAGTGAAACTGAAACGACAAATCGCGTGGAAGTGAAACGTTTACATTTTTATCCCCTCGGAAACGTATAACTGGTAAAATGTTAATAACTCGACATTTTTGTTAAAAATGGGATCGACTTTAACACGAGTAAAAAGGCTGTGACAGTTCTGACGTGCCATGCGCGCGTGCGTATCGCTATTATAAATATTATTACGAAAACGTAGCGCGCAGTTGGTAATGCCACGAATTAAAATACGGCCGGCATAATGCATGTGACTGGCCGTAAAATTCCGAGAGAGGCAACTCGATGCAATATTTACATGGTAATGGATCTTGGGAATTCGCGACGTTTTTCCTTTTCGCGATAAGGGATGCACCGTCGTCTGCAGCAGCTCGTATGGTCTGAGATTCGTAGATCTTCGCAGTGGATCTCAACTTCCGCCTCCGGTCCTCTCGAGCTCGCACCGGAAGTCGTTTCTCGGGCATTTTAAACTGCGGCATCCGACCACGAACATATATCTCTATATATGTGCACACATATATGTGTCTGTATGTGTACACACAAACACATATATATGTATATATATATTAAATCCGGTTGTTTTATTCATGTGAGAAGGAGGAGGAACTTCCTGCGAGCGGCGGCGCACTTTTGATAGCGACTCGACTACGTCCTTTATGGACGCTTCCGAAGCAAAAATGCCCTGCCCTCGTAGGATCAACTCCGGCGATACGATCTGGACGACGGAAGAGAAAAATTCGCGAGACGATGACGACAACGGAGAAGTACCCCGAAACGTCCGATAGTAGTGGCCGCTGCCGCTTGGAGTGTATCGCCGTCGGATTCACTCCTTCCCTCCTAACAAAATCGCGGACCATCGACGGAATAGCTAGTGTTTGCCGTTCGCTGCCGTCCGTTCGTTCGTTGCTCGCCCAGAGCAACGGTACACGAGCAAAGAAGTCTCCGCGATGCTACGACTTTAATTGAAATACGTGGAAAAATAGATACAGGGACGAACTCGTACATTGAAGAGGGGAGACGAGGAAAGAGAAGAAGAACTCGAACGCGCTCTGTACTCGGTGATAGTTATATTCCACCCGCGTACTCGCGTAGCGATAATCGTGATAATAAAACTCGCAATACCGTGAGAAAATTTTATCCGTTTTCGAAACTCTCCCTCCTTTCCCCTGCTGCGCCGTTGGAATCGAAAGCGTCTGATTTACAATCGTTTGACGCGATGACTGCGTAGAGAATAGTAATTGTGCTGTTGTAGAGAAACCATCGCTTGCTGTCGAGGCAAAATAATATTTTTCTATAGTTACTAATTTGTTCTTACAGCAAAATAATTTGTAGATTCGGTAAAATAATCCAACGAATTAATACTTTTAATAAATCAGTTTGCTGTCCATATAGCGACTGATCGATTTTGCTGCGACATCATGAAATTTATTATGCCAACAAATTTTTTTTCTTCGTGCGCCACGACGATATTAGAGAAGTTCGTTTCCGAAACTAAAATCCAATTTTTAAATCAGAGTGTTATTTTAACTCATAAATGAGAGCATAAGAATCAAATTGATACAGATGTATGAATAAATGAATTTTATTCCGTTTCGTTTTTCGCCCGTGTCACAAGCGCTTTTAGTACCTTCCCTCCACTATTTCCTCCACTTATTCTTGGATTCAGCGAAGTAGAGTCAATAACACTCGAGAAGCTCAGCTATAAACAGAGGTTGTTTTATTCCTTGGATCTCTTTGACTCTTACGTACGTAACTTTTTGTAATTCAGTTTAACGTATTGTGTAACATTGCATTTGAGCTGTGTGAGTTACTTTTATCAAATAATCTATAATCAGTGTAAATAATCAATATTACGGTTTTGCTAAAAGTTTATATTATATTTTCTTAGAGAAAAGTTTTATTACAAAATTAAAGAATGAATGATGAAGAATAAAAATAATATAAATAATGTAAAAAAAAGAAACTTACGCACCCACAGGTTTATATACTAATTAGCCATATTCATTATTCCGCAAAACTTGAAAAAATACCTATATAGAAACCTATGCATTAACTAATAGTTGTCGGAGCGTATCAGGAAACATATTTGTATGGAGCGGAAAAATCCTTTTCGCAAGCCTGCTACGAGATAACCGGTATTTGTCAGTTAATTTGTTAACGTACTTTGCACGCTCCGCTTTGTACCGTTTCACCGAAACGTCGTCCAAACAGATCGGTCACGATCCGCTTTCGTCACGAATGTGTAATGCGAGGCAAGCACCGGCGGCGTGATCGATAGCGCTGCCGGGGCGAAATAAAAGACAGTCGCTTCTGTCTCGAAGCGGTCGAAACGATCCTCGCGCCGCGGACATCGACAAAGAGCGCTTTCGGCCATCACGAAGATTACCGGCGAGGATCCACGGGACAGCGGAGGCTTGATTTATTTGTTGTCTAACGTTCCGGCGAGTCCTTCTACATTATTTACCCCTCCGCCGGCGAGAACGCGCGGGATACAAAAGGTGGATTCCACGGTTCGATCGGTGGGATCAATGGATCTCGCTTGTCGACGAAAGATTTACTGCCGGTCCTACGTCATGGTGGAGGGGTCACGCCGCGAAGACACCTTTATCCGCGCGACGATCCACCTATCAGCCCCCTCTTTGTCACTTAGACCAAGGCCCGTGCGCGAAACAGACGGGAAAAAATGCAAATTGCGGGAAGGATGTAGCGTTGCCCGAAGGGGAAAAATCGCGTTAAGCATCGCGGGTATTTTTTAGGCTGACGGCTCTGTGGAGGCCGCAGAGGGTGAGACAAAAATGTCTCTCGGTATATTCGAACGGAAGACCACCAGGTCTTCCTCAATGAGAGGGTGCGTTTATTCGCCCTGTATTCACGTAGCCGATTCGAGCCGCTTCACACAAGAGGAATATCTGGTTCATAAATAAACCAGTCTTATAAGCGACGCTCTCGGGATGTTATTTACTTTCGACTGGGAGAAATCTCGCGCGCGAGCGCTTAAATAATCGAACATCCCGCGACACCTGTGCGATCATGCGCTGCAGAGCAAACGGCTCGGAGGAAAAATATACGTGCGTTGGGGCGAAGAAAAAAAAAAGGTGGAAAAAGAGAAAAAGAACGGAAAGGGGAACACAGAGAGACGCGGGAAAATAGCGCGGAAAGAAAGACACGGGAATTAGGTGGAGGGATGGCGGCGGCGGTCGGACGAGGACTGCCGGTTGATGGCGTAAACAGCACTTTGTATCGACGTGCCGCGTACTTTTCTTTTCACCCAACGACAGTAACCCTCTCGACGAGCTTAAGTCCACTCCGACTTCCCTTCCCTTCCCTCCCCATCAGAGACTTTTTCTTCTTCCTCTTCTTTATCTCGGGCCGCTTTCGATCAGCCTGAATCTGCCACTTAGCGCGATCGTCGTCCCTCCGACGGGATGCCAACCCTTCGAGGACGAATGGATGGATTCCCCCGGTTCGAGCGGTAAGTAAAAGCAAGCCGGGTTTTAGCGGCCGCGGAGGCGAGAAAGAAAACGGCTGCGAAGGAGTGCGACGGGGTGGTAAAGTCGACTGGCGCGGCGACAATAGGAAAAAGAAAAGAGTCAATTTCAAAAGTGGTTGTTACCGAAGAGAAAAAACGGGGAGGAAGTCTAACGGCTGGGGAAATTACAATCACGGCTCCGTGTGCTCGCGATAAAACAACGGCTTGAATCAGGATGCGATTGTAGCAAGGACGAGGGGGAGAGAAATTACCCCGTCGAGATCGATATGCCATTACTTTAAACGCCAACGAGGCTGACACGCACTTTGACGCGGCTCGGAGAATTTCCAACCCCCTTTCTCTCAGCGCGTGTCTTTGGAAAATAGCTATTTACCTAAATGGCTGACAATTGTCGCAGCGGAATATTAACACCGTTCCCTGCCGGGGTAATTTTCTTTTCGATTTCTTGCGAACCAAATTTTATTTGTCAAATAATACACGTGGCAATCGTCAAAAGCATTTCATTTTCGGAGGAAAAGCGTATCGGTATTACCTGCTCAATATCGCTTCGAAACTCACGCTAATCGCGGCAGCCGCGTGACAGAACTTTTCTCCCAGGGGCAGCGCGCTGTCGCGCGGTAAGACAGGCGGACAAAGGGAGTGACAATAGTTCTAGTAGTCGGCTTGCAACTCCAGGGATATTTATCAAGTTTGCTTTCGGATGTTCTTGCAGCGGCACCTGGTGTCTCGTTTCCCCGCGGCCAAATCCGTGCACTTTCGCGACGCGGCGCACGTGAATGTACTATGCATAAAGGAGTCGGTGTAATACCGACGGCGGCGCCATGAAAAATTGAACGTCTTCGACGTCCATTGTTCCCCGGGATTGGTGGAGCCCCAGATTCTACTTCTCTTTGGTAATCGAATTTTAATCTCTCTGCAGAGAGAGAGACGACGGTCCGTAGAGACGGGATTTCACCCAAGATATTTCACGTCGAATTGTGAATGTTTGATACGTTCTCGCCGATAGTTTCAGCTTGACGAAACAGGGAGCGGGGGGAGGTAACTCGCGAAGTCACGTTGAAAAATCCAGAAATCATAGGATCCTTGTGCTCTTTTTGTTCCCCCCCCCCCCCCTTCGTTTTCTCTTCACAGTAACATCCTTCGTATGTCGAGTACGAGCTTTACGCGTTCGTGCAACGCGCGTGCTCGCATTTTACGCGCGTTATCGTATCAATCTCGCGCGAGCCGCCTCCGTATATTAAATAAACCAACATCTGCAATTCACCGGTATAATGGCCGCTCGCAGCGAGAAATAAACGAGAATATGCGAGTACAGCCGCCGTCGGCGAAAGATATTAATACCTAAACCGCAATTTCCCCACCGTTAAAACTCGTTTCGTCTCCGATGAAGGTTTATGGCGGCGCGATTCTGCGCGGGCTGCGGCACGTATATTCAACAGATCTTTATTGTCAGCGGGATCATATTCGCCATCGAGATAAATCACAGATCCCCTCGGATGCACGCGATTGGCCGTCCGACGGCGCCGTTGCCAAAGTAGGATAAATAGCGAATCGTGGCGTCTTCTACAAATGAGATGGATATTTAGTCATGACCGCGAACGTTCGTCTCTCTTTCATCTCCTAAGGAAGATTAAAGCTCGTAAACTCGACAAGCGCGGATTCTGAGATCGAGACGCTCGTATACCGACATTTTGTACGCCGACAACGAACCTCATCCGATTTTAAAGCTCCTGCGTCCTAGTTTGATGAAAACAGAAGCGAGAAATCGCATACCATATATATTTCAGACAACATAAAATCGGGACGTGAGACACCTGAAAGATGTTTTTAAAATATTTTAAGGTTGTAGGTTAGACGTCTTAAAAATGTTTTCCAAATTGTCTGGGATATCGCGGTATACATGGATATAAAAATATATGTGCACAAAATGGAACTCGTGATCGATTCAGCACATTTGCAAAAATGTCCGGATAC